ATTGCTCAATTGATAAATGAGCAAAGGATATAAATAATATCAACAAATATACCAAAATAAACAAGTATATACAAAAATGCTTATATTACTCCAAATGTTGATGATATAACTTATTATTGCTGTGTTTTCAAGTAAATATACTAATATATCCCAGGAGCCTAAACAAATGTTCAAACCCTTTGACACATTTATCCAAGTTCTGAGGATTTACCTTAAGGAAACAATTTTTTAAAACAGAAAAAAATATATGTACCAGTTTATTTGTTGCAATGTCACTACAATATTAAATATTGAAGCAATCTAAATATATAAGAAGGAAACAACTTAGTAAATTATGTTACATTATAAAAGTATTAATTATTATGAAAACTGCATAAATATGTAATAAGTGAAATCAGAATAAGATTTCATTTACTGTAATTACAGTTATATAAAATTCTTATATACTTAGAGAAAGAGTATAGGTAATATAGAATAAAAGACAACAATGAAATGGATTTGGGTTTTTCAAAAAATATACTTTGTGAAGATTGTTTTCTCCCTAGATTTATTAAAGCATACTTGTCAAATAAAATTATATATATTTAAGGTATACAATGTGATATTTTATACAAATGTGTATTGTGAAATGATTACCACAATCAAGCAAATATATCCATATTATCTATTTTGTAATTATCTTTATGCATGTGTTTATTTTGAGAAAACTTAAGATCTACTCTCAGAAAATTTCAAGTATATAATAAATTATTAATAACTATGGTCCCTATGCTCTACATTAGGGCTTCAGAACTTATTCATTTTGTCAAACAACTCCCCCTTTTCTTCCACCATCCAACCTCAGTCAACATGAAAATTCATTACCATGAATTTGACGTTTTTATAGGTTTGCATATATGTGAGATCATGCAGAATATTTCTGGGTCTGGCTTATTTTGTCCAGCACCTTTTACAGTAATCAATAAATTATGTGAGATGCATGATACTTAATTATAAAATAAGCTTTATGTTAGATGATTTTTCCCAACCATCAGCTAATATAAGTGTTCTGAACATGTTTAAAGTAGGCTAGGTTAAGCTATGATGTTTGGTAGATTAGGTGTACTTACAACAAATTCATCAGAATGTAAATGCATCCTGAGTTGAGGAGCATCTGTATATACCACAATTTCTGATGCTTAGGTTATTTCCATATCTTCACCATCATGAGAAATGCCACACAGATATGGGAGTACAGATATCTTTATGAAATGCTGGTTTCATTTCCTTTATGTATATGCCCAGCAGAGGCACTGCTGGATAATATGGTAGTTCCCCTTTTAATGTTTTGAGGGATATCAGTACTGTTTTCAGTATGAAGTACCAATTTACATACCCACCAATGCTTTGTTATCTCTTCTGCTTTCCATAATAATCACTTACTGGTTATATTTCATTGTGATTTTGATTTGCATTCCTCTGATGATTAGTGATGCTGGACATCTTTTCATGTATCTGTTAATTATATGTCTTCCTTGGGAAAATGTCTATCCAGATTCTTTGCTCATTTGTTAAGCAGCTTTTTTTTTTTTTTAAATCTTGCTATTGAGTTGAAATCTTAGTAATCATCCCATCCACCACAACTTCAAGGAACTTTATCCTGGCATCTGTCTGTCTTGGACTTCATCTGAGGAACTGCGAACTGAAGGGTGTAGCATTACATTGATGGGTTTCACAGAGCTATAAAGTTCCAGTGGTTGACAAATCAGTATAATCTAGTTGGTACTTTTGACCCAGAGTTCTTAAATATTTACAAAGAATGCCAAGTATCTGGAATGTGGCAAAGATATCAAGCTGGAGAATAATTTCCCTTGTTGATAATGGGGTAGGGGAGGGAGGAAGGAGTGAGATCATGCAGAATATTTAACGGTCTGACAACCCAGACTCTAACAATTGAAGAGTTAACTCTGAACCCTCAGTTAAGACACAGGAAAGCAAATCCAAAGGTCAGGATGATTTGTTCCCCAGCCATTGCATGCCACAGCCCGAAAGGCAACAGGACACTGTTATCCACACAAAATAAATCAGAAAACATGGAAAATTGGAACTGGCCATATACAATATCATAACAACCAGTTCTGAAGTGCCCTGAGTCTCCCTTTCCTGCAACTTTCTTCAAGTAAATCACCCTTCCACGCCTCTATTCCACTCTTAACTCCTTGACTTCCAAAGCACCAAACAATTTCTTGCTCTCCCTGCTGAAGCCATTACAACCCTGCTAAGACAAGGGAAATGACTGATGAGACTTAAAGGGGCTCATTTCCCAGAGAGTTCTTATATTCTATAGGACACGTAGTAGAACCTCCTTAACACTTTGCTTCCATTATCACTTCCTTGGTGCAACTTCCATTCTCCACTTCACAGTAGGTGAATCAATTCATTTCACCCCTCCCCCTCACAGTAGGTGTCACCAATAGTCCCTGAACATTGGCCAATGAACACTCAACCTAGGTAAGACATGCCATTTCTGGGTCTGCTTCTTGTCTGGTTCTTTCCTCTCTTTGTCCCTGTGGTGTTCTGTATCACAGAGGGGTTGAGTTTCACAGACTCTGGACTGCTGGTTTCTGACAAGCTGTAGCCAATGGAAGACATTCTGGGAGATTGCAGGGCAAAAGGAATCAAGAAATCAGAGTTATCTTTCTGGCACAAGTAGGCTGCCTCTATGTGGGTCTAGTTCCTGCCACCAAGATGCCCTGGTTTCAGCCCTGTATTCTAGCCTGGAAACTCTTCTTACTTTATCTTTTTAGCTTAGAAGAAATATCAACTTCTTCTTTTTCTAGTCTCTGGGTTTCTGAAACATTTCCCATTTTGTTTCTGAGCCTTTTAAACACCATGGAATCAACTGGCTGCCTTAAATTCCCTATTTTAAATACAGTGCTTCCTGTTTTCCTGCCAGAGCAATAACTAGAATTGGAATCATTCCAATCAGATTTGATTTGTGGGTGCTAGGAGAAAAGAGGTCTATTTTCCTGTTAGATTCTAAGGCTCTCAGGCTGTAGGATTAGGAATGCCAATAGCCAGTTTCCAGCCATTTAACCCCCATTTGAGAATAATGTCAATGTCAAACAAAAGCACACAGGTTCAGGAAATACAGGGAGAAAAGAATCCTAGCACAACTTAGAGCTCCTTGATATAACTGTCACTAGAATTAGTATTTATGTCCCAAACCAGGACACTTGAAAGTAAAAAGGGCTGCTGATAGTACTTAAATGAGGACAACAGGCACAAATTGTGTTACCGCTGTTGACCGGTGA